GGTTCTCATTGGTATGCAGCAGAACAAAGCCATAGTAAAGAATGCACCTGTGTGCAACTTGGTTACGGAATACAGATTGACTAAAATTTTAGGGTTTTCTATAAAGGATTTATTTCTGTGGACTTCGTATTGCCAGTCCTATTACTGGGTAAAAATTCAGCCACGTTGGTCAAGACCTTATCTCTGAGGAAATAATGCAGCCTTTTCAAAGTCAGAAGGCAGGTGATTATACAATTATATAGCAGCAGTTAAAATATCTTCTGGGGAGCAGAAGCTTTTGACCAGTGTTATATAATTTAACTTTCTTCTGTTAAAGTTGCTTTGCTGCTCAGGAGAGCTTGTTTGAGTGTTACTTCTGTTGATCAGTGAAGCTTTCCTGAAATAGTTTGGGGCAAGTCTAGAGTGCTTTTTGTAAGCTTGCTGAGTCTTGGCATTTGAGTCCTGTGGTCTCCTGAATACATGCTTCAAGTTAAAGGTTTCCTAAAGCTCATAGTACAACTGTATTGAGACCTTCAGTTTCTTCATTCTCGGTTTCGCTTTTCGGTGAACTGCTTTACTTCTGACCAGCTTTCTCGTAGAAATTCTTTGAAAGGATAGAGTACTGCAATAAGCAAAACAAATTATTTCAGTAGCCCCAAGCATAGGCTTTTAGTCTCTTCCAAATTACTTTAGTTTAGCTGATTATGGTAGTTTAGCTGATCTGATCAATCCATAAAACTTTCTGGGTGTTCAGTGTGTTCACTTCATGGGGGAGGGTAGGTATGTTGTGGTTTTTAGTCACCAGAACACATCTGTGAGACACCACTATGACATGGCGTCTGCTGTGGGTCTTCACCTTTGTGAAACTTAATGATCAACAATTGCATTTTGGTGTTGAGTTGGGAGAAGTCCTCAGAGTTATTTAATAAATGACATTTATTGAAAGTGCTAACACTAATCTATGGAAGGTAATCTCCTTATAGGTAGATGTTATTTTCATAATACCCCTCTTCTCTCGATTGCTGATGAATTCTTGTTCTCCTGGTACAGAATGTCACTCCCAAGAAGAAATGTGGGAGGAATGGTCACCTATGAGATTGTAAGTTCTAACTTGAATTCTTCCTATTTGGTTAGCAATAGCTTAAGTGGCTTTAATGTGGGTGAAACTTAAATGACTTCAGCCACTTTCACACTTGGATTCAATTTTTTCTAGGCTGTTGGAATAGACAAGCCTAAATTTTTTTTTTCCAAGCCCTCCATATCCTGTGAGGTCCAGTGTAGTGAGTGAAACCCTGCTTTCCTCCATTATCAACCAGCATGATCCAACATGAGGTTGTAGGCAGAAGTTGTTAATGTGTTTAAACAGTTTCCTGCATGTACATTATATAAGGGTTATGATTTGATGTTTCTCAAACTGCTAATCCTTTGATGCTTTAAACAGACTTGTTACAACTCTTCTCTTGTTGGCACTGGAAGGGAGTTGAGAAAAAGCAAGTAACTGAAATGCTGTTGAAATGTATACTTTCCTAGGCTTAACTTTGGTTAAGGTGTTCCCTTATAAGGAAAAATGGACTCTTCATTGTGTTTTACCAGATTCTGCTCCTTTAAAAAGCAGGGTGAGAATGTTGAACTTTGAGATGCTACCAAGGCATTAACAAGTGGTGGCTGTGGTAGTCCAGACAGACAAATGGTTGACACCACCTGGTGTTTTGCTGTGCCACTTGTTCCTCACCAGTTCATAATTCCTGTCACTTTTGAGCCTTGCTTCTGCTGAACTCAACCTCTTAATTACAAATGGCATTTGTCAATCTCTAACCCTAAAATGCTTCAGCACCACAGTTGACTGCAAAGGGGCATGACTTATAACTGCTGAACAGAAGGCATGTGCCCTGGGAAAGACCTGTGTAATGGAGGACTACTGCAGGAAGCTAAAATACTTCTGGTTTGCCTCAGCTCTAGTGGGAACTAATGATCAACAGTAAGTTTGCAGCCTGTGTTGTAAAAACAAGAATTATCCCTGGAAACAGCTCACAAGTTCTCAGTAGTTAAAAATAAACTGAGGTTTTATGCTGTCTTGCTTTGAGAATTATAGTGCTTAAATATGCAGAATTCTTAAAACACTTAATTTGCTGGAATATACACACTTGCACCAGCTTGCAAAGACTCCGGAGTTCTGACTGAACAAAACTATTTCTGCCTTTCAAAAACAAAAGTTGTTTCCAATGAGAAATAACGGTGAGAATTTAATGTTTCTGTTCCGTATTAGAAACAGTACTAGGGCTGAAATTTTCCCAACTTAACAGCAAACAGCTGTTGTATGGCTAAACTTTATTAGACCTCTTGTCAAACATTGACTTTCTATAATGTTAAAATCATATTATGTACTTGCTTTCAACTTAATGTGGAAGGCTGAACAAAATTAGAAGGTAGCATTACATCAAGACTGAAGTCTTGCTACCTCGGAACACTTGAATTCTGTTAATCAGTTGGTCTACTTATGCACTATTGTTTATGATATTTTTCACATATAAATTAGCAACAGCATCTTCCAGAACTGACTTGGATATATTTTCGAAGTTTTAAAAACTGAATCTTGTAGACAAATGGTTTTCTGTGTTACTGTGAAAGACAGAAGTCTATGTCTGAGCCACAACCATGTGAAATAATTTTTAAAGTCAAATGTGAATTGTGACCATGTACATTGATTCTGGCAGGACTGTACTCTTGTACACTGAGTGAGAGATGAAATACTGAAGGAGTAAAGTTCCCAAATGTTATTAGTTTTAAATGAAGATTTCAGTTGGTTTGGATGTTTGCTACCTTCTGATGTGCTTGAAGATCTCTGCAGGAAAAGTGCAGGTGTGTCAAGGTTGGTGGATCAACTGGAATTTAGGTGTGGAGGTCTTTCCAAGGAAGACATACAGTACAACTATAAAGTACAACTACTGTAGCTTCCAGTTTGTTATACTGCTGTTCCAAGAGCAGCACGGGACCCACGTTTGTACAATTGAGGAGGTGGATGTGATAAATGAGGAGAGTAGAAGAGAAATGCTGGTGATATTCAGATGAATCTCAAGAACAAATCTAGTATTCTGCAATATCCACTGTGTGTGTTAAGGATGTTCACTTCAGAGCTGGACTAAGTCATTTAACTGATATCCCTTTTTATTGAGCAGTGAGCACCTTACTCTGTTGTCCTCAATGTCTTCATTTACTTTGTAGCTGGAATGCAGATTCTTAAATCTGTTCTTCCAGCTTGAACAGGAATAGGCAACAACTTTTCATGAGCAAAGAATTGGTATCGTTAGTGTTGGGTGGGGAAGGGGAAGAAGAGAGCAGCTGTCTGTTTCTCAGATTGGGACCCTTTCCTAATTATGCCACCTTAATATTGAATATAGTTGTGTTTTTCTTCTGATCTTGAAAAGTGGATGGAAGTCAAGTGACTCTTAGCGCTGAGGCACTTGCAACCTTGTACAGATCTTACTTGGAGATGGTGTGGGATTAGCAATTGCAGTATCTGCACTGCTGCTGACCTTAGGTGTAAGGAAGGCAATCAGTGCTAGCTCTAGCACAAAACAGACTTATCTAAGCAGAGTTGTCTCAAACAGTAATATTCAAAGCAGCATTCTCAATTTCTTATATGTATGAATATGCACAAGTAAGCAAGAGCGCAAAGTGTAGCAGTTAAACTTTAGTGTAGACTTAGTGAGAGTATTCTGACATTTTTTTCTACGAAGGTTGATGCCTTACTGAGATTTGCTTGTCTCTCAATATGTGAAGTCATAAGCATTGCTAACATTTTATAATGAAGTAAATTATTTTTTTACAGGAAGCATCCAGGATGGGAGGGAAGCTAGATGCTTTGCCACCTATTAAAACCTCTAATGAAGCCTGTATAAAATTACTAACTCACTAGGCCTAAAGGACAGCGTATGAAATAAATGTGTGATATCATTTCATGTTGCAAACTAGCTCCTAATGTATTGGGGTCTTAACCCAATACTTATCCACTGTTTGATCACTTGCTTGTAGCCATTTCTAATACCAAAACCAGGTTGAGTTGATGAATCATAAGCATGATCATAAAACTGTATATAAATTCAGTTTTTCTTGAAAGATTATTGTGTGGGTGTTTTTAGTCTGGTCAACAGAAGTGTTGAATGTAGAATTTCTGAATGAAACTCAGGCTTTTAGTAACAACCCCTGAATTCAATATGGTAAAAAATGTTATCAGTTCCTGAGTAAATATGCTTAGCCACACTTTTTCATGATAAATATTTAAGCTGTAGCACTTAATTTTTACTGTGGCTCTTAATTAGAAATAGTTGGGTTGTGTCTCTTAAGAGTTAGAATTTCTGTTAGAACAGGAACACAAGTATGTTTGGTTAAGCAGGTTTTCCTATTCTCTCACACTCAAAATGTGTCTGCCATAAACATATAAGAATAAAAAGGCCTTGGGCACTGCATTAACTCCTTGGAATACAGAGCTTGTGAAATCCTCTTATTAGGAAATCCATGGCATTGGCCATGGCATAAGAGTGGACAGTTACTGTGGCCTGATAGGCTGATTTAGTCTTCTGGTTCTTGCTTTGTTAGCCTGCAGCCTTAGTGGTGTGGCAGTAAGTGGTAGCAGACTTCAGCTGCAGATCTACAGCAGCATGGGCATTAAAGAAACTTGGTGTTAATCTGACTTGGTGGTCCTGTGCTGATAGGGTATTGCTATCTCAAGCTATTGCTAACATACTAAGGATGATGAAGTAAGTCTTAAAAACTATCACTTCTGCAATTGCTACTTAAACCAGGCTGAGTGAAAGAGGAACAAAAGCACATGAGTTGGCTTTCCAAGGTCACCAAAATTAGTCATGTGCAGTGGAATTAGTTTTGGATTCTTATCGTACTTGTGAAGTCCAGTTTGAAACCAGTACTGACTACCTGATTCTTCTTTCTTCCTGTCTAATGTCAGATTTATTTTGTAGAACTCTTTATAGGAGTTGGCTGACATGCAACTTTTTCTTTTACAGGTATTTTCAAGAGGAATAATTCAAGACTGATGGATGAAATTTTAAAACAGCAGCAAGAACTCTTAGGAGTAGATTGCTCCAAGTACACCGTGGAATTTGCAAATCAAGACAAAGCTAATCAAGGTAAGATGTATTGCAAGGGGGCATTGGTATGACTCTAAATAGCTGTATATAAATCGTAACTCTGTTTTTACTTAAACACATTCCTGTGTACAGTGACTTTTTCCTTCATTCAACACTGATTATCAGAACACATGCAACCTTCTTGGGCTAGTATTAAGCTTTCATTGTGCTTATTTGTTCTTTGTTAATGCTGAAGTGTTGCTCTCTCCTTCCCATAGTGATCTTTACTGGGTAGTGTGATCTTCCCTTTAGCCCAACTGTTGTGCCATGACCCCTTTAATGCATCAGTGTAGCTCAACTCCTCACTGTTTCAGTGGGATGAAGGCTTTTGCTGAGAAAGTTGAAAAAGCACTGGACTAAGTGTAAAGGGACTGATGTCAAGTTAACAATGTGTGCACTTCCATCTTTCCAAAGTGGGGAGGAAGAAAAAGTTGTCATTTCAATGTATAATGACACCAGGAAGGTGTAAGTTAAAAAAAAGAATAATTCTGTGATATCAGCTTTTGTATGTAGTAGAAGTGGAAAACAGGCATATGTTTCAACGTTAATGTTCCTTATTCAATACTGTCTGCTGTAAGCATTCAGGTATGCTGACTAACACAAATGTTAGAAGTCTGTTCAAAATGTAGTAAATCACAAGCATGTACTTACTAAAGCAGGCCTTTGCCTTAGAGGCTGATGTTTGCAGCTCTCCTAATTAAATTGGTCTTGTAATAAAAAAACACTAGCCCTTATGTTTAAAGGCAATCAATATTATGTCCCAGGACTTACGAAAAGACTACACTCCACAAGCTGTAGGACATGTAGCTGCCTTTACAATGCTGCTGGCTGAGTGTTGCTTCCCTTACAAGAGGTGATAGGATGCCAGTTTCCAATACGAAGTCCAATGCTGTAGCTTAAACTTGGGCTCAGGTGCTAACATTTACATAGACAAACCCAAGTTTAATGTTATTTCTCTTTATTCCTGTGAAGGATGAAATAACCAGCAGGAAACAGGGTAGGCAGGCTGTTAATGTCTTTAGCATACTTAGCTGCACTTAACCTAAATTGGGATGTTTACATTCAGACCAAATGCACCACTGAAAGACTGCTCAGACTTGCTGACTGAAAGGTACATTTAAGTCTCAGGAACGTTTTGGTCTGGAAACTGTGAAAAGCAGAGGTATTCTCTGTTCTCTTTAGATTTTCTAGTTCTTACTTAGAAGGTTCCGCAGTCAGATCAGATGCTTCATACCTTGAACTGAACAAGCTGACATCTACCCAGTTTATAACACTAAAGTGCAATTTTTCACTTCTGAGAAGCAAAATGACATGTTTTACATTTATGAATACCATGAGAGAAATGTTCTTTAACATAGGACATGACAAATCAAACAAAATCAAGGAACAATTATTTTCATTGTGGTGGCTTTGAATAGACTGAGATTTTGTTAGCTGTTCTTAGGAGTCTTCTGACTATCCCGTGGACCTTTGCAGTCAGATTCTGCAATTTTAAGAAATTACATTTTTCAGTATCTGTTTATAACTGTCATAAGTTCTGTATAGTCTAATGTGGCGACATACTAGTATTTAACCCAGTTACTTCAAGCTGGGTTTAGTATGTTATCAGTAGCCTTCAGCTTCCTTGGAAAGTTTACCTCTTGGGTACCTTATCAGAACTGACAATGAAGTCACACAGTGTGAGAAGACTTGCTTCACAATAGCGTAGATAGTAAAATTGTTGTGAAATATCCGCTTAAGTCACAGGCGTAATTGCAGATTAATGGATGGATTCTGGTGCTATTATCTGGTTCCTAGCTTCCGTGTATCAATCTTAGATCAATATTATAACTCTTGCATGAACTTTGAAGTGCTGCTGAAAGATTCTGTGATCATATTCAGGTATTCAGGGAGGGCCCCAGCTTAATCATTGTGTCCCATGAATGTCCACAGTAGCTCCTAAAACACTCTCTTCTTTTAGGGTGGCAATTAGATCTTTCTTTCCTTTCCCTAAACTACAAGTCTTTCTGCATTGCTTACCAACCCCCAAGTTACTATCTAGGCACCTTTCTCTCACTGCTTTGCCTGACAGTGTAAGAACCATTGCAAATTCCCTGGAAGACTGTACATTTCAAGACTGACATTAATTAATCCACTTTTCACAAGACTCTTCAAAATAGTTGCCTTGAACTTGTGTTTTAGTAATACAGTAAATCCAGAAGACTCTTGCCCACTTCTGTAAGAGGTGGATGAGGTATATCTATGACTAGTTGTATAAAATACAAAGTAAATTACTGAAGTTACTGTAATTGTATCCTGTGAATATCTAAAACACATTCAAAACAACTATATTTCTGTTGCTTTTAAACTGTATTTTTTACTTTCAGTTTTAAATTGCCAATCTACATTGAAGGTGCTGTCTCCGGAAGATGGAAAAGCAGACATAGTAAAAGCTGCTCAGAACTTCTGTCAGTTGGTAGCACAGCAGCAAAGAACATACACAGACCTGGATGTGAATGTGTTAGACAACTTATTAAGTAGTAAGTATGACATGGTCTGTGGGGAGGAGGGGGAAGAGTACTCGATTCTTAATGGATTTGGTTTCTGGTATATTGTTTAGAATGTATTCATCTTGATGCTTAGTCTATCAGGGTAAGTTATGGTATTGATTTCAGGCTTCTGCTAAAAGTTTCTTACTGGTTTACTCCCTTTTGAGCTTTTTCTTTAAGCAGAAAAAGGAAACATTAAGCTAAATTATAGAGTCTCAGCTTTTCAGCATTTACAGCCTCTGGGATGTTCTGCAATGAGCTTTCTGAAAAAGTACTGCTGGGATCACCTGAAACTAGACTATTATAACTTCTTTCAAGTTAGCATACTGCAAAACTGGGTATAGGCAGAGAGTCTTTTCCAGATCTAGTTACAAGAATTAAAGTTGTTACTGCTGCCTAACTGCTACCATCAGTGGAAATAATAGAGCACTTGCTAATCTTCTGGTGCTGTATAACCCACACTACCTGAGTTACCTTTGTTACTAATTCATGCAGATCACTGACTCTGAGGTGCATGGCTACATGCAATAGCTATGACAAGGTCAGGGCTGCCCTAATCTTGCATCTGGGAGTAGTAGTTTAGAACAAGCCTCCACTTCCCCAGTGGTGCTATGGAGGTGTAATCATTGCTCAGCTTTCCTAGGTGATCTTTGCATGCTAATTGCAACTGTAATTAGCTTGGCAGGGTTCAGGTTTCAGATTGTACCCTTAAACTTGGATGTCTATAGGCACGTTATTGTGGTTCCTGTTAATTGGACTTTAGAGAGTAATTTTTTTTCAAATTGGTGGTCAGCTGAAGTGCTCTGCAGACTGACTTCTGTGGCAGTTTAGACACTTTAATTTTAATTTCAAGCTGAATTCTATCCCTGTTGTCAGCATCCTGCATGATAGCTTCTCACTGTAATGGAATTATTAAATGTATTTAAGAAGGCACCTGAAGAAGCAATTATTCATTTCCTTAAATTGCCTTTGGGATATAACAGGATAGATGTATAATTGCTGCTTTAAAACAGTCGCTCATTTTGTGGAGAACTGGTGACAGTTGATACCCATGTATGTGTTCTGGCTGGTGATGTTTAACTGGAGCTTCTCAAATGCTTATTCATGATCTTCTGTCCATGCATTTAAGTGTCTGCATATGCTAAAAGTATTAGGTCTAGTCTTAAATTGAGCAGATTTATTGTTCAAATAATGCATGCTAGCCGAGCACAGAAAGAGAAATCTAGACTTCTAGTCTATCAAAACTGTCAACTTTGCAAATAGGCTGCTTAATCTATGTGGCTAATAACTAAGGATAGTATCTGTAACTAGTCCTGCTTATTAATTTGCTTGATTTTTATGTTTAGGACAGTTGGATGTGAAGAACTATTCCTTCATTACTTATTTAGCAGCAGCTTATGAAATTACTCATTTTAGTTCTAGGCAAATTTAGTTTCTGTGCATCCTTAATGGAAAGGTATTGAATGTAAACATCTGTGAGTTACTGATGTAAGTTGAGAGTGAGTTCTGAAAAGCAGTACTTGAGTAGCTATATTTTTAAGATTTGTGTTCATGGTGACTTCTGTAAGTTTCTGGTTTTTCACATTTTGATTTAAATGCCTGATAATGTAGTTTTTTAACTTTCTGTTCATATTTAGGACTAGACTTCAGTAACTGCATCCTGAAATGGTATGGTTCTAGCCTGTCATGTCTTTTTTCTGATTCTTAATCCAGTCATGCTCTAATTCTTACAGCTTGAGTTTTCTTCAGTGTAAGAGTACTTTCTTCTGACCAATGCCTCAGCTAACCAGCTTGTTTTCAGAAAAGTAGGTGCCAGCTGCATTATAATATTGTCTCTACGTGCCATCTGCCTTCCCAGTAAAGGACATGACCATAAATTAAGGCTGTTCAAGTTGCCGTATAAAATCTATGTGGACAAGAGAAGGGTAGTACTCTCAGCTCTACAAATTCCTTCATGTTCCCCTCATAGAACTCATGACCTAGAATGGGTGTTGCCAGATTCCTGTCCCTTGAGTGTCTGAGTCTCTTGGCCTCTTTTTTCCTAAGAGTCTGCTCCCAAAGCCTCCTCTTGTGTGTGCTAAACTTGAAGAGTGCTCTTATTCTAGCAGCTCTGAGGGAGCTTCCACATGTAAAATATCTGTAGTGTTGATATGTTTAGGTAGAGAAATGATGCAGAGTGGAAAGCATGGTACTGTGTTTTGAATAGGCTATTCTGACAGTAATACTACAGTGTACATTTTCATTTTCCTTTAGATAGGAACCAGAAGGAAATATTAGCATTAACTGGGCTCTCTGAAGGTCTTCCTGTTTGAAAAACCATTGCAGTGTTGGAAGGTCCTGCTGCTGAACTGGCCAGCTGAGGAGTACTCAGCTACTGAATCAGCTGATGAGTAAAGTTGTCTGCTTCCTCCAGCGTCCCCACTTCTAAGCATTCACTGCTTCTGTGCAAAGCTCTTCGATACTAACGTGCTAGCTTCTGAACACATAAATGACTTTTGCTTTACAATTTTTTTTCTTAACTTTGAGATAAGGTTTGGACTGTTGCACAAGGCACGCATATCTAAATACTTCATCCTTCCTTAGAAATGCACATGCTTGAGAAAATAGCTTCTTTACTTCTGATAAAAGGATTACTATTGTGATGATTCAGTGGGGAGGGAGGATGTGAACTTTTTGAAATCTCCAGCTTCAGTTTCAAAACCTGGGTGGAGTGAAATCTGATAGGACCTTAGTTTCCTGTTCTGTTATTCCCAAAGTTAAATTCCTGTACAGCTAAACTTGAACTTGTAAAAGGCTTGTGACTGCTTTGGGAGAAGTGAAAAAAGAATTGAGAAGTAACATCTGAAGTTCAGAGCAAATAGGCACTATTAAACTTTATCTGCTAACAGTAGGCATTATGCAGTGTAATTACTCTTGCAGTTACTTGTAGAATGAGTGGATATTGGAAGGAGTAACAAGAAATAGATGCAATAATCATGACTAATTGCAGCATTATAGCAAAGTATATAGCAAAGCTGGAATGCTTTTCAGATGAGCTAGACAGGTGCATGAAGAATAGCTTACCTTCTTGGGGTCCATTTGGGGTACTATACTGGTTTTCACATGTTGCCTTAATCAACTTCCTAGAATTAGCAGGGAAAACTGGACTAAGACTGCTCATTCCAAGTTTATTGCCTGTCAGTTTTAGCCTGGAGTAGCTCAGGCATGGCAGAAGTACATGGAAGGCAGACAGTGTTGTTTGGCCACTGATTGTCTTCAACCTTGAAAGGTCAGTAGGATGCTCTAGTGGAATGACAGTGACTGGGGTTTTAATGTATGGATCATGGGAGTGTGGGCACTTAGTGAAGTCCTGTGTTATCTGGCCCTGCCCTGGGATGGGTCATGCTGTCTACTCGTCTAAGCAGGAAGATATCACCTGCAACAGTGTATTTAAAAGTTTATAGTGAAAGCTGCTTTAAAAATTGTCTGGTTTCATACTGAGAAAGAGACACTTCATCTGACAGGGTATTTTTTTATAACTTGTTTTCTTGATGGTCTGTGATATCAATTTATTCTTCAGTGGAACCTTCTTAAGTCTTTTTGTGTTAATACTCCTTTTCCTGTACTTGAATTCAACTCCACATAGTAGAGTTAGGACTGTAGCAGGTATAGGTCAGGGTACAGCATGTTCTATGCTACTAAAATCAAGTTTGCCAAGGCAAAACTAGAACAAGTCAGTTTGAACAGCAGTATTAAGGTTTGTTGGTATTCAAAACAACATAACTATTTCCTTACCAAGTCTTTGAAAACTACCCGACATAAAAATATCAGTTGAGCTGGGCCTGCAATGACTACCTAAGCTTTTGCTCAGTTGGTTCTGTTCAGGTGGTACAAGACCAGTCTTGGGTTTTTGTTAACTTATCCTCAAGAGCTTCACTACATTTAAAAAAAATGCATTTAATGAGAAAGCAGATGCCTTAGGGTTTAGCATTAAAACAAATCTTCTGGTGAATCTGATAAAACCTAGTTTAACTTGTTCTTACAGGTACAAATGGATTTCCTGATCCTGATTTAATCTTGAAGTTTGGTCCTGTGGACAGCACATTAGGATTCCTTCCGTGGCACATCAGACTGACAGAGATCATGTGAGTTGCCTGTAAATACTGTGAAGCAGCTTGTAATCATATCTAACGAAACAAGTCTGTATGTGGCTTACCTTAAGGAAATAGCCGTAAGAGGAGATCTGTTTAAGCAAAGGTGTCTGGAGATTGATTTGAGGGTATTTAAAAATTGTTCAATGAATGTTTAACAGGTTTCTTTTTTGCTCATTCAGCCGTGATTAGGGAAAAGCAGGTTGTACTCCTCGAGTTTAAGGAACCACTTCTGTCACCATCTAGTCTCAGTGGTCCAGTCCCAGTTCTGTCGGTGTTCTTTATGTGGATTTTGAGTGGTTCACAGGTGTCTATCAGGGAAACTAATGATGTAAGGGAAATAGGATAATGTTAATAAGATTATGCCTCTGGATTACTTTCTGAACTGACTAGAATTGTATTTCTTAAATCTGAGAGCATTTATAGGGCACTTCAGTGTCTGGGCAGCCCTGTGCTTCTCCAGCTTTCTCACTAATTTGAAGTGCCCTATGCGCTCTGATGCGTAGGCTTTGATTTAGAGGCTGACAAGACTAACAACTAGTGCAGTAACTAGAGTTGAGTAACAATAACAGTGTTGAGAACAACTTCACAAGGTTACTTGGACAACAGCTTGCTTTAGTGATATTCCTTACTGGCTATACAAATTGTGTGGTGTTTACAAAAGCTTATTTTAACTTTTCTAATTTGATTTTTCAGTTCTTTGCCTTCCCACCTGAACATCAGTTATGAAGACTTTTTCTCTGCACTCCATCACTATGCAGCCTGTGAGCAACGCTGGGGAAAGTGACTTCTGGCTGAGAATATGGAGTCAGGCTTTCTGTGGGAAGGAACTGATGTCTGTTTACAAGCACCTGTGACCCATAAGTCTCTGGTTCATAGTCCTTTCTTAATTTATCAACAAATTCAATAAAGTGTCTTACCTTTCTAGAGAGTCTGTGTGAATGCGTGAGAATCTATGGGGAGTGGGGAATTCACAGATTTCCTTTATGAAAAAGACAGTTACTGCAAGCAAAGCTGTTCGAAGCTGAATTACCCTCACTTTCCTGGCCAGGTGACCAAAAGAACATGTAAGAATTAAGTCTTCTGAAATCTACAGGACAACATAAATGGAAGTTCTATGCCCTGAAGGCCTTTAAATCCAAGGAAGAACTCTCATGTTAGCTTGTTTAATTCTTCATGGTCAGGCATTTCAGAGATAATCACCTAGTTTATCTGCAGATGTATTTACTCTGCAGATATATGTGTGAATTCCAGAGGGGTCAGTTCTGTTAACTATGAGAATGGACTGCTACTAGTCTGTGACAACTAAGCCAGCAGTAGGTATCAAGTTCTAGAGAGACTGAGAAGATTCCATACAAAGGAATGGAAGCTTCAATGGTAAGTGGATTAGGCAGTCTGTGTAGCACTATCCATCCTTTTTTTTTTAAAGAGGTAAAATCAAACTCTTCTTACAACCCTGAGTTAAACTTATCTTAGCATCAGGTCAGTTTTCCATCGGGAGTAAGCATAAACAGTACTATGTATTGTTTGTATACCTATTTTCTTCATAAAATTCTCACCTAGGGTGACAAGCTGGCTGAGGCTCTGGCATCACTTCCTGAAAAATCTGAAAATAGACTGGGTCCACTTCCATGGTTAATGTGACTTGCTGCTTGTGCTCCTGTACCCAGCAGGGGAGTCTGCTTAAGCCTTTTGTTAGGTTTTTTTCTGAACTGCACATTAGAAGTTTGGGCTTCAGCAGCAGACAAAAAAGATGAAGTGAAGCTGCACTACAGTATCTAAAAACTGAGATAACTAAATAAATACATTAGCTAAATGGTCTTCATTGTGGAATGTCCTATGTGAGTTATATTCCTATTGTTGGAAATAATTTGAAATTGAAAGTCTTTATAGCAGTATATGAAGTATAGCACAAAGCAATATCTTTAGAGCTGTATTACTGGAGACAAACATTAATATTGCAGCCTTCTGCCCTGCAGGCTGTAGAACTGTTGGGATACTTCATTCTGGAACTGTTTCCCTTTTTCTTTTTTTTTCTTTTTTTTTTTTTCCTCCCCTCCCCTCTTCAAAATGAGTGGCTTTATCTCCTTCAGGATAGGCATGTCACTAGAAGGGAAAACAACTGGTCTTAAAAGGGAATTGCCAGATTTTAAATGAATGTCTGCTGCTTTGTGAAACAGTGTGTTTTAACTGTTGCAGTGTGATGTAATAAAGCAGACTGCGTCAACTCTTAGCTGCAGATTTTTGTCATACTAAGATTAGATTGCAGGAGAGAGCTGTGGTCTACTTAATCTCATAAAAGAGAAAGGGATGTTTAATCAATTAATTAATGGTTTTGACATAAAATGTTCCATATGGTCTGGAATGCTCAGTACAGTTGGCTGCCTTTTGCAGACTGGTCTCTGATGTTTGCCAGTTACTGTATTGCAGAACAGTCGTGCAATGTTTCCTGGCTTCCGTCATTGCTGTAGGAAAGTTTTCTCACTGAATGTTAAGTTGAACTTTTTTTTTTTTGCAGGGAGCAGATAGCCTGTTGGAGGGTATCTTGAGTATTGAAGTTTATCTTGTAATATGCATTTTGTTTCATTAAAATGTAAGGTTGTGTTTAAGTTACCATATGTAGGTATTACTCTGTCACTGAAGCAGTTCTGGTGCTGGCAGTAGAGATATAAAATGGGAAAAGCTTAGTCCTCAAAAGTAATCTATTTTTTATATTTGTATAAAACTGCCAAAGAATACTTCTAATACCTGAGCTCCCCTCAGTCTTCGAGCTCCTGCATATCTCAACAAAAAAGACTTGTTTTATATTGGATCTCAAGGTCTAGGATTTGTCTGAGAGGGATGCTTAATGAAACTAAAATGGTTAGTTCAGCTGCATTTGATTCAACTTAATCAAATCTCTTGATAGGTAGTTTAATTGTGAATTGTGTGCCTCCTGGAATTAATGTAGTTGAGCTAATCCACATTGTCAGTTAGTTGGGATTATTTTACTGTCCCTGTGTGGGCAATCTTCAGTGAGCTGTGCCAAATGCACTGTGCATATTCACAACTTGATCTCTGAATGTATGTCATTGCAGTTAGCGCCTTTCCCTGGCTTGTTCTGTGTGAAGGTCGGTGGTATAGCTGTGACATGCTGTATAGCTGTAGTCTCTGGGCACCTGTACATAATGTGTAAAACAGGTTTTTATGATTAGGGAATCAATTTACTGAACTTTATTATTGAAAGTTAAATCTGAATCTGTAAAACAAGAAATCAATAAAAGACTGTAATCTTTCTACAGGCTATGGTGATACATGAATGCTTTTGCAGGTTTGACTGGGGAGGTGTAGCCTCATTCATATTGCTACATCACTCTGTCATGCTCTTTGGTGCTCTTCATAGATGGCTTTCTGTATTGTAGGACCTGGACAATTTTTATCTACCATTTCCAACTTCTTGGAAGCTCTTATGAAAGCTTTTATAATAAAACTTTTTTTAAATGGTAAAAATACCACTTTGATAGTCCTCAGAACTTGCTAAACTTGTTCCTGGCTCCTAGAAAGTTCACTTCCTCTCCCTGCTGCTGAGTCAGTCCTGAGTTGGTCCAGCTGGAGCAGGGTGAAGTGAGGGTGTGGTGTGGAAGAAACCTTCACCACCTGAGTGATGCCTGAGTGCTGAGCATGACCCCTTTTGAAAGGGGAAGGTAGTGTTCAGGCAAGTTTTGAAAAAGTGGTGGACGTTGTGGTGGGTAACAAGCTGCCCATAAGCCAGCCTGCACTGAATGCCAGCAGTCTCCCAGCTTGTGTTAGAAAGAGTGCTGCTAGCAGGTCAAGGGAGGCAATTGTTTCCACCCAGATCAGGTGAGGCATCAGGAGTGCTGGGTCCAGTTCTGGGCTTCTGTGGTAGAAGAGAGACATGGACTTCCTGGAGCTAGTCCAGCAAAGGGCCATGATGATGGAGTGGAGCACCCATTGAATGAGGTGATGCTGAGAGCTGGGACTGCTCAGCCTGGAGAAGGCTCAGGAGGGATCTTACTGACTTGTACAAATACATGATAGAGAGGGAGTGAAAACAGCCAGACTATTCTCAGTGGTGCTTAGTGTCAGGCTGAAAGGCAGTGGGCACAGATTGAACTACAGGAGAATCCATTTAAACATCAGAAAAACCTTTTCCTGCAAGAGCGGTCAAACAGTGGAGCAGGCTGCCCAGAGAGGTTGCGGAGTCTCCTTCAAAGACAGACAGGATACGTGGGGGTGGCTGGGATGGGTGTTGGACTAGATCATCTCCAGAGGTGCCTTCCAACCTCAGCGTTGCAGTGAAACAGAAAACTCAAAGGCAGACAAGTTATTTTACAGAGAATGGGATTTTCAGCAGTGTGCTGTGCCAGAGTTCAGCATAGGGTGCTTCCATGCTCACTTTAACTGTGGACGCTTTAATCTAGAGGAGAGCGATAGGTGGTGGAGCACTACTGCAGCTGGTTGGCACGCTCTGCTCACAGCAGTGGAGGAGCATGCTGGGCATAGGCAGTGGTGAGTTTTAAGTAAGCTTGAAAATTAACACTTGGATCTCAAAATTCCAACTGCTGACAGAGTTGACAGAAACACTGTATTCTTTACTCAGTTATTTTCTGATAGAGATTCTTCTGTTGTCTGTTACCATATCCTTTGGGTTTTTCTTCCTTCCTTCATAGCCCAGTGCTGCTGGCACTTTGTTTCCTTAGATATGCAAGTTCCTGGTAAGAAAACTGTCATGTTACTGAAGGTAACTCTTTGGTATACCCTAAATCATAGAATCATTAAGATTGGAAAAG